CGCCCCGCGGCTGCGTGACAGCCTCCCCGGCGCCTCGGAGCCCGCTCGCCAGGCACCGTCACCACGCTGTCATTTTTTTTTCGGGGTGGGGGAGCCGGGGGGGTAGAAGAGCAAGCCAGAAAAACGTACCTAGGAGCAACTACAGCCACGCATGGCCGCGGAGCGGCGGGGCGCCCGGCTGCCGCCCCCCGCGGGGCGCTCCGCGGCGGCTCCTCGGACACGGGCAGCAGCCCCGCCTGGCTCCCGGCCCGCGTGACGCCGCCGCCACACGCGGCCCGCACCAACCGCCGCCCGCGTCATGGCGGCCGTTTTAAAGGCGCAGCGCGGCGCCGCCGCCGCCGCCCGCCGCCGCGCGGGAGCCATTTGCCACCTGCGCGCTGAGCGGGGCGAGGCGGGCGCTGCCCGCTCCCCCTCCCGGCGGCCGTTAGGGCCGTTGCAACGGGCGCCCGGCGAGTTCGCCCGCTCGGGCGGGGAGCGGGGAGGAGCGTCGCGCCGGGCAGCGTTTACCTGTGGCGAGGGCGGCCGAAGGCACCGTTGGGGCCGTTTCTTTGTTGGAGACGCTGCCCGCGAGCAGAGCGGCGAGCCTGCCCACCCCGCGCTGCGAGAGGGGAGCGCGCCATGCAAGATTCATGACCTGAGTTTCTTGGGACCTCCTTGTAAACATTTCTACTCCTCCTACCGAACGGGATGTATTTAGTAAGACTTAAGGAAAGGGGAAAAAAAAAAAAGGCAGGCAAATACTTTCTAAGTATAAAGTAACTTACTGGTGGAATGCTTTAAGCCAAGTGAGAAATAGGAACAAGCAGATCTGGAAGAACTGATAAAATCACACAGGATTAATTTCTGAAATGAGTTCATCAACTTAGAAGTGACCCATGGCTTTCTTTGAAAGGAGCCCTGTGCGGGTCAGGATGGTGGATGGGAGGATTGAGGACGGGCACCGGCTCTCCCAAAGCGGAGATGGGGACGGCAGCTCCCCTGGACAGTGGTAGCTCTTACTCATGTAGCATCCTATCTCATTCTGCAAACAGACCACAGATACCCACGGGTCTTCTTTTACAGTGAGGTACAACTCGCAGCACCCACAGTCAACCAAGTCTGGCCCACTGAGCATAAAATCTGGCCCATGCAGATTGCAACAAATTTTGGCAATTCCTACCCCCCATACTTTTTCTATTTTTTTTAATGATTACGTCCACATTTCCCTTGATTTAGAACATTTGCTAATTGTACTAAAATATTATAATGGCCRCCCGTCATCAGCAGGAGGAAAATTAAACAGCGACAAATATCACATCCTGGCCGCTCTGCAGAAGCGCCTTGCAAACTTCCCTTCTGTGTGCCAGCTGCAGCTTGGAGGGCTGTAACGCTACCCCTTTTGAGCACCCTTAACCTCCCAAAAGAGAACTGGTGCCATGTGTTACAAACCCCTCTCAACGACACCCTCGCTGCTCACGGTGGGACAAGGTTAGCCATTTCAGAGGGGCGCTTCCACCTGCGCARGGTTTCGCACCAAAGAGCTGGCGACCTCTGCAGAGCAGCCACGAGCTCAGGGAGCAGCTCCCACCGCCACACTGGGCCGTGTCAGCCCCGCTCAGCGCCTCACCTGGAAGCAGCTCCCAGCATCCCAGCCGCATCCCAATACAGCATTTACACACCTGCTGCCTGTCTCGGGAATGGCGATGGAGGCACCAAGCTCCTGACTTGAACTCTTTGGTTACAAAATGTGTTRTATCTTAAAGTTMCATTCTTCAGCCTCTTTTCTTGATCTTCCAGAGTGTATAGTTGCCATCAATGATTAAAATACTCCACAAGTTGCTTCCAAGTAAGGGGATCTCCCCCTACTATTTCCCAATCTTTTAAAATACATCCCAGAGGAGATCTTTTCAAAATCCCTTCTTCCCCTCCTTCCAAGGAACAAATATCGCCCATTATGTTGACACGTTATGGGTCTGTCCCCCCCCTTTTTTCTTAAAACAATCACCAAATGCAAAATTCTGACACAAACAACTAACACAAGAATACTGATGCCTCTTTAAATTTAAAAACGTCACAATTAACCAATCACCGAATACGAGATCCAGACGAGGAAACCTGATACGGTTCCAAGTTTCCACACCACAGTTACCCAGCAATATTGGTCTGATTTTAACCCTTTGATGGAACTTTAATGTACAGGATCCTGATTTCAACCTTTACCCTTTATGCTGCAGCTACCCTGAAGCCCTTCCCTGCGAAGCTCTCGCTTYGTCTGACRGGCGAGCTTTTTGGCCGAATCTAAGCCCTACCTATGAAGCTTTCGCTTCATCTAAGGTGGGCACCTATGGGGTATGAATGTACCCCTTGACCGAACCTGTCCCTTACCTTAGGTACCTACCTTTGCCCAACCCTGCAAGGCTTTCGCCTTGTCTTACATGCAGGCAAACCTTTTAAGGATCCTCTTACTAAGAAAGGAATGCCTTTACCTGTCCAGGGAGGTCTTGCTCAGAGTTCTTTGGTCCGGGGATCTGAGGTTCTCCCCGAGAATCCCTCGGTGCTGGTTGGAGGTCCTGCRATCCCACGGATCYGTCGAGATTCAGGAGCAGGGTCCCACCTGGGTCGCCAGTCACTGGGTATAAACCTCTTAACACCAATGCAGTATTTCTTAAGCGAATGCTGCAGGCGTTCACTTTATCGCAGTGCTGGATGCTCAGGGGATAGCTCCACCTATCGTGCATGCCCTAGCAGGTGTTTGCTAAAACTTTTATTTCTCTATTATCTACATATGCATTAAATTCTATGAAATGATCATACATATTCATTCAATTTCCTGGAACTAATTACAATATGCCCCACCCTCACGCACATGCACCCTTTGTTCCTTTGGTGGTCTCTGGTGGTCTTTTTGAGACCCCCTGGTGGTCGTCTTCCAGGAAGTCACTTCCATATATGGCTTCCTTTTGGCTCAGTAGGCCCTGTTTTGGTCCTACTGCCCTGCTTCAGCCAGTTCCACAAAGAAACCATGGTCCTTATCTTCATCTTCAACCAGCGTTTGCTTCTTTGGTCTGTATTCTCTCATGATGTCCCAGTAACATCTGCTGTTTTGTCCATATTCTCTCATAATATACCAGCAAGAACAGTGAAAACAAGGCCTTGGGTGCATTTTCTTCYGGGGTTTCTCACAATAAATGCACTGTGGAAAAAAATCAGTGTGGAGTATGATCTACGTCTTGCGTTTTCATTCAGTTCTGAGGTACGGCCAGTCCGTTAAAATGAAAGTACATCTGCAGAGACATTATCTCTGGCAGGCAAGGGACGCAGACTTTGTTTGCATCCTGCTTCCTAGGCCACGTCAGGAGCAAACTGAAACCCACGCTTGCAAACCCAGGTTGAGGGCTCAACCCTGGGTGCTCCCCAATTGCTTCTGTTACCCAAGATGAAACGCACAGAAAGCCGGGCAGGTGCAGGGCACTCACGGGTTGTTTTTTGGGATTCCTCTCTCCAGAAGTGCCAGTTTCCCACTGGAAGAGCACACTGCACACACGGCAAGGCTAGACGCGGCAGCCCACAGGGTGCACAGCGCGGCTCCATGCCCAGCTCCRCGCAGCAAGCGGCGCCCAGCCCGCTTGCTCCCCAGCGGCGCCCACAGGGTCCACGCACAGGGAGCCGCACTGYGCAACGCCCCTGCACATAGGATCGAGCCCCCGAAGCACAGGGGGCTGTACAGGGACACAGAGGGACACGCTGGATCCTGTGCCTGGGACAGCCGCAGGTGTCGGCGCCAGGCCAGCCCCAGCTCCCCGCATGGCGCCGCCGGAGGCGCACGAGGATCCGCGGGCTCCGCGCGCCAGGTGCCGGTAACGGCCGGTAACGGTCGGTAACTGCCGGTAACGGCCGCCCCAGCCCGGCCCGGCCGCGGGGGCTGCTGGGCGCTGTAGTCCAGGGCAGCGGCCGCGCCGCGGGCCTGGCCCGGAGCCGCCGCGGGGCCGGAGCGGCCGGGGGGGCTCCCGGTGCACTGCAGCGCCCAGCGGCCGGAGCCAAAGGGCACCGGGGACGCGCTTGGGAGCTGGGGCTTCCGCGGAGCGTTGGGTCCAACACGAGCTTCACAGTGACACAGCTTCCTAACGACAGGTTGCCACCTAAACTGAATCMGCTTATAGCTGTTTCCAAGCTATTCATAGCACAAGCCTAACTAGCTTTATTTATTTATTTATCCCCCCACATCACATCCTTCCTATCACTACAGGACTAGGAAGGGATGGTCTGGGCTGCGGAGCTCGCTCTCCTGCCCACATGGCCAGCAGACCCCGCGGTGCTGAGGTACCTGTACCTGGAGCCCGCGGAGCCTCCGGAGTTCACAGCCACTCCTCCGGACACAAAGGGCAGGCCAAGCCGCCTCGGGTGCTGCTGCTAATTTACTTCTAATTTAGGACTTGAAAATGCAAATACCATTCATACCTGTTTATTCATGGGGTCATATGATTGTTTCCTCTCTGTCCCTGCCCAGTATTCACATGCTTTTAATGGACTGAGTTATTTGAGCGATCTTGGCCRTTTGGATTCTCCCTGCAGTACGGATTTCCTTTGCAATATACGCTCTGTGCTCCCTGAGCGCATTCCTCGCTCCTCTTTGCTGTAAATTCTCCTTTCGGGAGCASACATTTGGAGCTGCCCCGGGGCCTCACAGGCCCCTTGTCCCTGTCCCTCCGCTCCGAGCACCCCTGCAGCCCTGCTCTGCCCTCGTGGCGATCTCGTCCCAAGCCGCGTCCCACAGATGGGCAGTGTTGAGCGGAGCCGAGAGCAGCAAGCGCAGGGCACTCGCTTCCTCCTCCCCAGCCGCTGCCAAGTGCCCAACACCCAGGAAGCAAGCAAGCCCTCACTGACTCTTGTTTTTYCACACCTTGCTCTGCTTCCAGCCAACTCTTCTTCCTCAGGAACAGGGCTTTCTCAACTCCAGTTCCGACTTTATTTCTGGTCCATTTGAAAGGGATTTTGCCACCTACCTTGTTCTGCAGTGTTGACAGCTTTATGCTGGCTTTTCCTTTTCCTCCCTGGAATTTCCTAGGAGGGGCTCCCAGCGAGATGGGCYGCTCGGCTGCCCGTATCCAGCCACAAAGTCGATGGCAGCGTGGGCCTTACTGGTGAGGGAGAACCCTGGAGGCCGGGATGCATCTTCCCGGTGCTTCCCGCCTGCCAGGGCTGAGCGCGGCCTCGGGCTCAGGTCCTGCCTCGCAGGCATTCCTAAGGCCCTCAATTAAACACATGTTAACGGCATTTAATTAAGTGCATGTTAACGATGGCAGCCGTGGACAGGAGGGCAAAACCCCTCTGTGTTCATGGAGAACTTGTTGATTTTGTTTGTTCACATTGCGTGAATTGTAATGGAAACTGATTTGAGCAACAATCAGCAAGAACCTCCTTTTTTTTTTTTTACAAGCTCTTTAAATCGTAAAAGAAAAAACAAGAAAAAGAAAAATCTCTCCGGCTGTGGGATTGAATTGGGTTATCACGTCTTCAGTCACATAGCCTCCTTTTCCTATTTTGCACTGGTTCTGTGTCTGTGTTGAACACAAGGACCCAGCGCACTGTTTTGTGGGTGCTTTCTAACACAGGCCTCCTGCTTCTCTCCCTGGGAGGTTTAGGTCGAACTGCTCTTGAGGAAACCGGGCTGCCTCTGGCTGCTGCATGATGCAGCCTTGTAGAAGGCTCGTCCCATCCTTGAGCTACAGCTTCTCCAGCCCGTCAGCACAGTTAATGACACCCTCTCCAAACGCCTGCCTTTAGCAATGAGGGGCTTGTCTTTAGCAATGCCGGGCTCCTCTTCACACAATAAGCATCATTCAGCCTTTTTGTAAACGAACAAATCTCCAGTAAGATGCCCAGAATCGCATCCTCTTCACACCAGGCTAAAAATGAATGTGTACAGAAACTCATTACAGCGCAGGGCCAGCGATGGGTTTCTGCTCGTTTCCTGTGGTTTGCAAGGCTCAACTGCATAAGCAAATCTTCCTTGCCCTTGAATTATATCCACTTCACTTAGAATTTCCTGCCCTACTTATTTTGCTCTGCTCGTTGTTATTATGGTAATTTGTCCCATATTCAATAAAGCTGCTGTCCAGATTTAAGCCCTGGTTATTTTAAGCTTCTATTTTAAAAAAGTATTTGTATAGTTCCTACRTTGTGCAATGCAATTTGCCCATACCACCAGTAAGAACTGTCACTTATTTGCCTCACTAGTGATAACGTTACAAGAAGCTTTAAAAATATTAATGTTAAAGACCAAAAGTGTAAGAATACAGTTTAATAAAAATCCTTTATATAAACATAGCTCTGAGACAACTCAGTGAAACAGCGGTTAAATTTGTGGGAAATTTGAAAGGTAGCAGTTTGTATGAAATGAAGCAAATGAAAAAGCATGTACACTTGCACATACAAAACCAGGAAAATACAGAGCAGGAAGAGGAATGCTCTGAATGAATAATAAAAAAAAACAGATATTTCGTCTGTGTTTTAAACCCACTGTCAACATATTTACGCTAGGTTCCCTTCACTTTGCTGTCAGGTTTTGTGTTCTAGGATGAGTTAACCCTAGCTGGTCTCCCTGACTCTTCCTTCTGGCCATCAGCAATACTTTGGTGGCTTTCTGAGCAGCAGCAGCATTATCAGCAATGAATAATCACTGAAAAAAACATTAGAAGCCTGATTTTGAAACCAGGCTCCAGTGACTCACTTGGTGACTAGTGCAGACGGTGCGAGCAGCAGGTCCTTTTGCTGCCRGGGGAGCAGAGACATTAGCCTTGGTACAAGGAGCCGTCCCTCACAGTGGTCTCAACTCCATGCACTTCTGTTGATCCTTCTCATTCTCAAGATAGTGGTGACAAAGCTGCCATCACCATTGACTTCAGATATCTCTCCAGTCTCCTGCACACATTTCTGCTTGGATGGATACTGGGCCCGGAGGATGCCCTGTCCAGGAGTGTAGCCCACGACGTACCCGGAGCGCCTTCCCGCACRGGGGGCCAGCTCCTATGACATTGAGCGCGCCCACACACATCCTCCAGCTGAGAACACCCGCCCAAAAATACTTTCTGTGCAGACAACCAGTATACTTCATGCTAGGTAGAGGCCCCGTTCCTGAAAATCCCRGTTTATACATCATGTTGTACTGTAAGTGGGACAAACTTCTGCTTTCCTAAGTAGCCACCTTTCAGCAGCAAAACGCTCCAGACCTTTGGGGTTTGGCTCTCCCTTGCTTTCAGCATGGAGACATGCGCTGAAATCCTTCTCCATACCTGCCTGCTGAAGTTTCTCCTAGATCTTAAGACAGGCTTTCTTGTGGAAGTGTTGTGGATTTTCCCTTAAAAGCTGTTAGAACATCCTTGTGTCACAGCTGGGATATAGCCAGGGCTGACGGCAGCTGTGGAAGACCAGAGCAATGGGTTCCTCCTGTTGATCAGCCAGAGGGAACGCTGCTCCTGAGCCGCAGAAAGCGGCAAGGAAGGGTAAATGCTGCATTCCAAGACATGGCTGTTGGCCGTCTAGGGATTCCCCTTCTGCTCTCACCCAGCTCTATAGGCCTTGGACTGTGAGGAAACCAGAAGAAAACAAAAGACACCCCCATAACTTATGTGGAAATGTATAAGATCAAAGGATGTATGTGTGGCTTGGCACACAGTGACTGCCAAAGTAGCGCCTTGACTTCAAGAAATGAACAATTCCCACAGCTGGGTAAATGT